CTATTTGTTGGAAGTACTACATTGTTGATGTTGGTTCGTTACCAAATAATTTCTTCTAAAGCCACTTTTGAAATTCTAATTGATAATTAATAAATCCAATAAATCCGTGAAATGGGGAATGGGGAGTGACAAGTGCCTGATGATAGATTATAGATTGTTTTAAGAAATTGGGCACTACCACCTTAAATATACAAAGACGTACTAATATTTTTTTGATATATATATAGTCCGAAACTCTTGAAAAGTACGGACATTTTAAATAGTTACTTAAGATGATTCATCTTTATAATTGATCATAAATAATTTGAAATAGGAATTGAGAAGTTTGAAAATTTGTGTTTTAGAATATCGAATCACTACATTCCAAAATTTATAAGTACTAAATTTCTTCTTACTTCAATTTCAAGTCCTCCATTCGCCGTCGGCAGATGCAACGTAATAATATTTATTCCAACTCACTTGATAAATACAAGCAAGTTCATCTTTTCAACTTGCATCCAATTAGAAAACAAATGTAGACGCACAAACATCAACTTGTTTCACTCTCTCTGCTGGTTCACTAGTTCAACCAATCAAAATTTGTAATCAACTAATTATATTCATCTGTCACAATATTTGACAAGAATGAGCTCGATCATTGTGTAACTTTCAGAAAGTGGCATTGTATTAGGGTGATGTTGACATTGTACTAGCGGGACATTGGCATAATATAGCAACTTGCTTCTAGTCATGATTCGCAATTACAATAACAATCACTATATTAATAACAGTATGATAAATTAAGAACGAATATCAGTATAAAGTAACTCACAAATTCATCAAATTATATAATATTATCAAATTTTTAATAAATGATTATAAAATGACCAATACATCATGCAATGACAATCCCAATATCAATAATTGTGTGATGAATTCAGAATGGATATCGGTGTAAAAAGTAACCCTAATTCATCAAAGTAGATAACAATATCATTTCCTTAATACACGGCGTTGAATTATTGTGATCCCACTCAGGCACAGTGATAACTGAACCCTATACACTTAACAAATAAGTGAGTCTCTCCCATTTCCAGCCGTACATTTTATAACTTTTAATAAACAGAGTACTGTCACAGGACGACAAGGTTGACCAAATTGACGGCCAATATCAAACCTTCTATTCTAAACCAGAAAGTTTTGTGTGTGAACATTCGCATCACAGCTGCAACCACTAATTGCCAACTTGATAAAATTAAATAGGTTGATCAAATTTTCAAGTTCTACTACTTCAGTGACTATGAATTAGGGGTGTTTACATTTTATTACAGATCACTTTTTACCAATTTCAATCACCAAAGCTTTGTTTAGGAGCATCTGAATTTTTTTTTTTAAATTTTAATTCTAAGTTATTGATTTGGTGCTTTAATAAAATTAATGACCGACACTTTAAGTTAGGATTGTAAATAAGTTAAGACTTATGCCAGATTAATAATTGGGGGTATATTTTCTGCTTAGAGTTTGTTTTTTTCGTCTTGGTAAATAAAAAAATAAGAATAAAAACTACATCTTTCCAATTGGAAAGATTTTCTAATGGGAGGATGTGATGTGAATAGGGTGTAACTGTGTAGGTCTCACCATTGAAGTTATGTGGCAGGGCTCACAATTTTTTCAAAATTTCTTACTTCGTCATCTCCGAATTTGAAAGATGTATAATTGCTTATTAAAATATATAAATAAAAATGTAGGATTAAGGATTATTTGGAATATGTAATGGCTTGATGAACTTTTTTATTTTTAATTAGAATATAATAATAAATAGTCCAAAAGTTGAATGCATTCAATTATTTTATGTGAGTGGAGATGATATCATGATATCATCCCTTATTCACATAATTTTAATCGGATACGTCAAAATTCTCGGACTCTGTATCATTAAGTATTCTATATGTTTTTCCTTTATTATTTGCCCTTCATTTTAAACTTTTAAATGAAAACTAGTTCATGAACATTATCTCGTATCATATTATTCGGACTAGAGGCCTTTTCTATACATGGTTTTTTGGCAACACCTTAATCACCGCAAGGAGTTGTGGAGCCCGGCTTGGACCATTCAATTTTTTAGCATACAAAAGTGAGTTTGAGAGTCCGGCACAACCGAGTGTAAAATGTGTTTCAAGTATATTACGTAGCGTAGCGACGTACTTATTACTTTATTAATTTTAATTTATTTAAATCTATCACATACGTGAAAAGCAAACTCACAATTCGTCACGTATGTTACTAAATCAATTAAGTTCAAATTATCATTTTTTAAGATGAATGAGGAATGAGTCTTGTCCTGAAACAGATATAAATGGAAATTTTTTTGAATCCGCCTAGCAGATAGTTTAAACATTTGAGTTGGATGTTCTAAAAAAGAATAGTAAAATAATAGCGTTTGATCGATCACATTCTGAAGTTTCCTGCCACTTGGTCCTCTCAACTTGAATAGCCCACTTGTTGATGGCTAAAGTGATAATCTAATTAATGCATTACAGAATAGAGTTTTCCATATGCGATGAATTGATAGACAGATTCTGTATCAAAAACAAGTACAAAAGTTTTTATTTTTTATAAAAAACAATTAAAGCTTTTTAAAAGATTTAATAGGATGATTATGACCGTTGATCTTCGGAGTGGTTGTATTTTATAAACGTGGGGTTGGTGTCACCTTAACCAGCCGCATATTTCACTTGATAGAAACACATGCAAGTGGGCATACAGCTTACCCGTATCTCTGAACTTTCATTCTGGACCGTCCATTCCTCACCTTCAACTACAACATATTTGTAGTTTTTTGTAAAGCATTTTTTGTCTGTATTATGCAATTGGAATTATATAATAAATTATATATATACATATATTGAAAAAATAACTATTAATTCCTGGGAAGAAAGTGAATTATAGAAAAGATATGATAGAAAAGAAGTGAGCATGTGGGGCAAAATTATTTGATTAAGGAAGATATTTTAAAATATTATTAAGTTGCAGAAATGGAGGCACACAGGCCACACTAAGTGCCCCTACCAAAGAAATCAACTAACCATTGAGAGCCTCTCTGAACAAAATTAATACAGCACGAGTCATTTTAAGTGGTAAATGTCAGAAATGACCCTGCATTATATTTCCTTTTATTACATGGCTTAATAGTTAATATACCCATAGAGTTAATAAAAATATTCTTTTATGACAAATAATTGAATTTCTAGTAAAATACATGCTTTTTTTTTAATTTTTTTTTTTTTTTTTTAACTTCGTCACGCAACGACTTGTACTATACTAAGCATTTATGTGCATTGAATTGTGTATCTCATCATTTTTTTATTTTAAAAGTCGAATGTTCGATTATTTAAGTTTCACTGTGATAAAATAAATATATGTTATTTTTCAAAATTATAAGTTCTAATATTGCTATTGTGATCCTCCTATCAAAGTTAATTTCTAATAAAATAAATACTATTTTTTTATTTTTTTATTTCTAATAATTGAATTTCTAATAAAATATAAGTTATTTTTTATATTGTGTTTTTTTGTTTGAAGAAGAGACTATTATATCCCCTTTGATTCTTTATGTTTTGTTTTCAGCAAAAACAAATGAAATACCTTGTTGAATTCGTGGTCATTCTCTCTGTTGATGTACTCTAAATTTTTATATTAAAACCCTAAGGTTTGGATTTTTTAGGTTTTATGTGCTCAGCCTACACTGATCCACTCCCATGCAATCTAAAGAAATTTTCATAAAGCTTGATCCAAGAAAAAAAAAACTAGAAATTCAGCTTATTTGATGTATTTTCAATTCTCTAAAGGCCAAGGGCATCATCGACATTTCATGAATTTTTTGTATCTTTCAAGAGTGACCTCGTTTTTGCAATTTGCAGCCAATCAGCAGTAGCACAAGATTTCCATAAACACAATCAAAGTTGCTTTCACAAGAGGAGTACATGTCAGAAAAAGGAAAACAAAGAAAGTAGCAGTGTAAAATAATTTTACACTTATAACCTTGCTAGCTAGGATGGCAATGGGGGCTAAGTGGAACCTCATTCTCCATTTTTATAGGGGCGAATTTTTTCATGTCTGTTTAAAATTTAATTCCACCCCTGCCCGATAACTAATTAACACACACAATAGTTTTTTTTAGCATATAATTTTTTTTATTGTCAAATTTCAAGATTCAGCATAGTCAAGTTATAAATTTTCTTAAGTATAATACTTAATATAATTTAATAATATATCATAATATATTAACGTATTTTAATTAATGCACACCTTAAATGAGTAGGCCGAATCCCATAGGTCGAGTTTTAAAAAAGTACCCTAATTTCTATTTATTAGATAAAAGGATTTTCAAACGCGTCCAAAGGGGAGAAGACCAGCCGAGTTTAAGAATTTTGCCACCCCATTGCTAGCAAACACAGTGGCAGGGTAAACTTACACTTATGTAGTCTACCAAAACACAACTCCATAGAGCAATTATACTATCATACTTTATATTTTTCACAAATACCTCACAATTATACTACCATAATCTTTTAAAAAAAAAAAAAAACACAACTCCATATGGTAGTGGATTCTAAAGAGGCCTATAAGGAAAAGTATACGTGTCAACGCGGTAATAGCTGTGGCGGTGAACTCACGGTTTAACAGAAACCATTAATGAAAGTGGTGGTCGGTGTAAACACGTGGCACGCGAGGACCAGTCTCGGATCCAGATGCCCGTGAACTCAGCCGCGTCGGACTCAGAAATCTGGCGAGTCATCGATGCAGTTTCTTAGAAAAACCCTCACATATTGCCTGCTGACTCGGGACTACAAAATTTAAAAAATTTAAAAAAATAATAATAATACACTTTTCTCATAATACTACGAGTACTATATTGTAAATAAATATAATACATATACACAGAGATACATTTTGTTATATATATATATACGATGTGATTTTTTTGTACTTTCCACCGCCTCCGTAGAGATATTTATGAGGGGAAGGGCTTCATTTGTGTGTGTATATATATATATATATGATGCCTCGAGTGACCTCTCTTCTTGACAAGTGAAGATACGTTCGTCGTACTTCACATCTCAGACGGCTTCACAGGAAACCTAATCGGAGCTTCATCGGAAAATCCATCGACGTCTGGTTCATATATATAAGTAAGTAAATTACTACTAGTGGTCATAGTTACTAGTTTCGAAGGTCGAATGTCTAATTATCATGAATTATCGTGTCTTTTGATTTGTCTTGGATTGCGTTTTCTGATCCGATTTGTATGGGAAAACTGATCATGAAAATACCAAAAGCTTCCGATTTTCTCAAATTTGAAGTTGAGATTTTCTTTTTTCAATGTATTTTTCCGGAAAATTGCAATTGCAGTTGCACGAGTGTTGACTAATTCGTTTGTTTTATTTAATTGCAGGGTGTTGTGAGGGGAAAGGAAGAAAGGGGAAAACTTTTTCTGGATCTGATTCAAAAGTTAGCGAGATTTCCGTTTGGAGAAAGAGACTTTTATTTTTTTCTTTCTTTGAACTCAAGCTTTTTCCGAGATTCGAATTACTTTTCTCTCATCAGTCTCTGTTTGGTTCAACTTTCTCTTATTTTCCTTCTTTTTATACTCTCTCTGCTTTCGATTTCGATTCAGTGGTGAGAAATGGGAGTGAAGGTTTCTCCGACCTGTTTTCATTTGTCTCAGTCCTCTTTTCCTCACTCACCATCTTCCTCTCAAACCCTAGCTTCCACTATCCTCTCTCCTTATCTCAAACGGCGTCGTTTCAGCGAAGGAGCTTCCGTTTGCCGCTACGTCCACGTCCAGCGACTTGACCGGTCGGCTCTTTTCGGGTCAAAGCTCTACAGGTCGAGATCTTGTGAGCTCCCAAAATCGAAGACCCAAATGATCAAACGAGCTTGCAGTGCCAGCTTAGATGCATTCTCAGACGAAGAATTCTCTAAGAAGATTCAAGAATTGGCATTGAGGTTCCAATTATCCGACGACGACGAAAACACGGGAAACACAGAAAACACCATGACTGAAGCAGAATCAGAGATGTTCACTGGTTCTATAGAAATTCAGAGTGAGAGTATTAGTCCAGATTCTTCTTTGAACAGAAGTATCAGCTTTATAGAGAATCAGAGACAATTTCCTACATCAAAGATTGATGTAGAGCCGCCGGATTGGCCGGTACGAGACGATATTATTCCGGCCACCATCGAGTGGAAGGCGAACAGCGTAGACCTGCCGCTTTCGCTACGGATTATAAAGAGGAAGAAGCAATGGCAAGAGGGTTTTCAGGAGGGTTTCAGAGACGCAGGAGAATCTGCTTACTGTTCTGTGAAAAAGGCCTTCTCTTCAATGGTTTTCATAATTCGAGAGCTTCACAGCTATACTTTGCAAATGAGAGAAATGCTATACTACGAAGATTTACAGGGGATTTTAGTTCGAGTCCAGAAGGAGATGCACGCGTCCTTTGTGTGGTTGTTTCAACAAGTGTTTTCACACACACCAACTTTAATGATGTATGTGATGATATTGTTGGCAAATTACAGTGTTTATTCAATGGCGAATCACGCTGCGATCGCCGCAACCCCGCCGTCGCAGCCTTATGCGACCACCATGGAGTCTGTTTCAGTCTCTGAAGAGCAGAGCCACAGGCCACAGAAGTTTGATTCTTCTGTGATCAAGACGTTTTCGGTGTCCTCCTCGACCGGGAAGACCACTTCTATTGGCGATAACAATGGCGGAGGAGGGAAATTCCGGCCAGTCGCTAGCGGAACAGACGGTGAAGGACAATTTGACAGGTCTCACCGGACGATTATTCCCGATGGTGTATCTTCTATTACGAGAACAAGTGAAGAAGAGTCTGTTTCAGGGCAGGTGACGAGAGAAGAGGAGGTGAGTATCTGGAATTCGATAGTGGAGGAAGCTGCGAAAATGGAGGCTGCTTTGAGAGATGAGGCTTTGGATCATGAAACGATGCAGAGGTTCGTTTCTCCGGTGACCACGAAGATCGAAGCAGAAGACTATGCAGATTACTTCAGAACAGAGCTTCTATACAGAACAGGGTTGTCCCAAGAACCCAACAACCCTCTCCTCCTTGCCAATTATGCTCAGTTCCTCTACCTCGTAGCTCATGACTATGACAGGTACAATCTCGTGTCCTCCATTAATTTTCTCTCTTTTTATTTAAATTTTGTCAAGTGGTATTGTTGTTCATCCATGTTAATGGTTTCCATTCAATTGGGAGTTGAACATTCAATAGTCATAAAAAATCAACAACAATGGATCCTTTTTTTTCAAACTAATTGGGGTCTGATACATGAATCTTGTGATTTCATTTTACTCAATTTAAATTCTCAGTCGCAGTCAATAATTTGAATAATAATAATATAATTAGCTTATTGAGTATTCCGTATATTACTTGTTGTGGAAAGCAATTTAAAGATTTTTATAGCCAAATTGTCGTTTAGTAAGATTATAGGGTTGGGTTGGGTTGGGTTTGGATTTAACTGAGAATGTGTGGCGTTAGTATTTTCTTTCTTTTGGCATATTACAAGACAAAAAGGTTTCCTATCACTTTGGGTTTGGTATTTTCAATTATTTTCCATGGAAGCTGGAGTCATTTGTGAATAAGTAGTCAATGCAATGGATGGCGTACTATAATCAATTAGTCAAATATTGATAATTTTCTAAATGAGAAGGGACCCAATCACATGACATGTAATTCAAACACGTTTATGTCACACATATCTTCGAACTTCTTGTTAAATGCCAAATCATCATAGTATTGACCAATTTGAAGATATCAAACAATATTGATGGTTGGGTCAGTTTTGAGTGGGTTTAATAATAAAGTGTTGTATTAGAATTTAGAAGAATGACTAATGATTTGTGTTGTTGATTTGGTTTTTATGGGATTTTTTTTACAGAGCGGAGGAGTACTTCAAGAAGGCGGTGAAAGTAGAGCCGGCGGATGCGGAAGCGTTTAGCAAGTACGCTAGCTTCCTGTGGCAAGTGAAGAAGGACCTATGGGCCGCTGAAGAGACGTACTTGGAGGCCATCTCTGCCGACCCGACCAACTCCTACTACGCCGCCAACTATGCACACTTTCTGTGGAGCACCGGTGGCGAAGACACATGCTTCCCTATCAACTCTCCGGACACCAACATTGACGATGTTTAACCAAAACAAAAATCCCAAAAAAAAAAAAGGAAAGAAAAATACAGTAGCTCCATATCCGGTTCAAACCACCCAGGTTGATCATAAATTATTAAGTTCAATAAAAATATGTTAAAAAGGAAGAAAAAAGAAAGAAGAAATTCTTTTTTTATTTTTCGATTTTCCATTTTCATTTTTGGGTGATGAGAATTGTGTGAATGGGGGATGTGGGTAAAGGTGGTGTTTGGAGGCAGGGGCACAACTGTTATGGTGCTTAATTTTCACTCTTTTGGGCAACATCTGCTCTGATCTAGAGAGAGACTTCTTTCTAGTGATCTGGAGGGGCGAGACTTTTTCTTTCGGCTGGAAAAGTGGAGGCTTTTGCTTGAGTTCTACTTTGCACAGTAGTAGTTCTATCTAATTATATATGTTCTTTCTTTTCTGAGACTTGCACATGCCGAAAAAGTGTAATTAATTTTTTTGTTCAAATATATAAAAATTTGCAAAATTTTAATTTCCTGAGTAATAGCTTCACATGATTCTCGTGCAGTTTTAGTATGTGGATGCACACGCACGCATAAAGATTGAGATGTTATTATCAGATTAGAAGTGGACCATAATGGTTGCTTCTCCACAATATGATGATTTTTCCTTTTGGCTATGCAATATAAAATCATTTTATGAAAGTAAAATTGTAAAGTAAAGAAATATCTACTTTCCTTTCCGTCTCACAATGAATTGAGCAAAATGATAAATTGCACTTCTTCTCCATGGTGGAAATATTTTTTTTACACTATTCCTTTCCTTATTTGTCTCGATTTTTCACCTCCCTCCTACCAACAGAACATTAATTTGTCGGAGCTCATTCACAAGCCCAATAGAGTCGGAAGACGAGGTATACAATACATTAAAGAGCCCTCCATTTTGCTACCTTATGGATCATGTCATGGTGCCCCATCACCACTTTACAGCTGTTGCTGTCAACGATCTGACATCACGTACTCAATTCCTACGCATAAGTCCAAATATTATTGTTCATGCTCCTGAGAAAATCATAAAGTAAATATTATGAAGAGCAAAATGACTTACATTAAGTTACATATCATCAAATTTGCTATAGCGATCTTTGCAAGTTATTTCTTGTTTTGAACTCGATCTTGACCTTCAAATCACATGGGATATTCGTCCACCCTTATCGATGCTTGCGTAGTCTTGTCATTACGCCAACACCCGTCCTCATGCTATAATACTCCAAAAATTTTTGAAAAGAATTCAGAAGTTCATCTGTATGTATGCACAGAAAGGAGAGAATGACACAAAGGGGCTAAAAATTAATAATAGAAAAAGTATGTTAAATCTTATCTACTTTAAAAGAAGAGAAGGTTGAAGCGTCCTAGTCATAATGGAAATGCATGAAAAAATTTAGATTAGAGAGAGAGAGGCCCCCCACTATACTTGTTGTTATGCTTTCGAACATGCATTTGATTTAACATATATATATATATATATATACATACAGCATTTAAGAGCAAACAAAGAGAAAAAATTAACGTAGACTAGCATAACACATGGGAATCAATGGTGTTATATGGGTTGGTCGTGGTAAGGTTTGGAGTTAGGCCAAGCAGAAAATGACGCCCAAAACACGTGAACACATCGCAACATTAAGCTACCCCCATGTCTCCATCAATCCTCCCATGCCTTGCCACCTGATCTCTCACACTCTCTATCTATCTATATATATCATTTTGTGAAGAAAAACCATCAATAAGATAGACTTGTATATTCAATACCATTAGTTTTAATGTGCATGTACAGATATGTAGGCAGTTCGTCTTTTATTATAGAAACAAAACAAAAGAAAAGTCTCTATTTATTTATTTTTCTTTGACTTAGACACACATTTTGCTTCAACAATATGATTATACGTTGAATACCCAACCTTTTTTTTTTTTTTTTTTTTTTGTAAAAATTAGTACTATAAATTTGCACAAAAAGAGCAGAATTACCAATTATTTCATATATACTTAGATGGTAAAATTATAGAGTACCTAATAAATTAATAATGGGTAAAGAGTACTCAAGATCATTACTAAGTAGCTTTCATGTAAAACATTTGGAATATAATATACAAATTAATTAAGCTACTAAAGCTTGGCTGATATATATATATATATATATATATATTTCATGCAAATGTACAATATACAGTGGGCTCCTTAGAGGAGAACGGGCATAAGTTGTGGGGGGCAAAAGGGCCTTAAGCCCAACAAACCAAACAAGGTAACTATTAGGTTTGGGTTTCATATTAAGCATTGTGTTTTGTTTTGATTGTATCCCTATGCAGCATAAGCATATTTGGTTAATCATAAAAAAGTAGAAAAAATTGCTACCTAAGTCGTACTTCCATCCTTGCTAAATAGAAGTAAGATTTTGTTATTTATAAGTTTATTCAAAAATTGATATATATTCAAAATTTCCTTTGATATATCTTCTTAAGTTTTGGTCACTTAATAATATTGCATTATGAGTTTAAACTATAATGGATCTAATTAATTTAAATTCAATTAAAAAAATCTTATGTAGAAAACATGACAACTTTAGAGCCTTACAAAAAATTGGTGAATTAACCTTATCGCCCTTAGAAATAAAATTAACATTTTAATCGGCTTAAATACTCTTTGATTAAACCCAAGCCCAAACCCATCTCAAACCCACCCAAACCCGAACCCACCTGTGTGTTCTGTTCTGGCGTACCAAAATCCATTCCAAGGTCTGACTCATCTAACAGCGAGACCCATTTTCTTCTACTTCAAAGTTTCAGCAGCGAGACCCATTTCCATTCCTATCCCTTGATGCACCAAGATTGGATTGTTGCCTTGGTCAAATTCATTTGAGAAATCAATTGCTCTTTACCACTTCAGCTGCAGGTAGAATTTCCTTGATGAGGCATACACCTTGACCTGTATACATCGCCATACTCTCAATGTCACCTGTTGTTGTCACATTTGGTACAGTACCAGCAAAACGACGGATATCTTTTTCCTGTTGAGAAGAAAATGACCAAGTAGGAGAGTGTTTACTTGGGTCCATATATTATGAAATCACTTCGTATTAATTCTAGCATTATTTTCTTCTACTTCAAAGTTTCAGCAGTGAGACCCATTTCCATTCCTATTCCCTGTTGCACCAAGCTTGGATTGTTGCTTCGGTCAAATTCATTTGACAAATCAATTGCTTCGGTGAAAATGCTTCTCTATCACTAATGCCATTAAAGAAAGTCGATTGACTGCCTTTACTTATGGAATTTCTATTTAGAGACAACCTAGATTGCACATTCTGATATATATACAGTTCATCACTGTGTATATATATTTATGTATATATGGCGGTGATGTGGGTGGAGAGGAGAGAGAACAGAGAGAGGAAGATCGAGCACGCCGGGACCGCTATCATCGAAGCCACTGGTACCGGGCAAGTTCTTCTCCACGTGGTCGAGCTCTTCAGGACCGTAGTCGTCGATCTACCGTTTGTTCGCCATTACCGGAGTGGGGTTGTCTTCGCCGGACTCAACCTGGGTTTGTTTTCGCCGGACTCACCTTTGTACCAAATGACTGCAGTCAAACATTAGGGCTTCGCGGAGGTCGCGGGTGGACATTAGGGCTTCGCGGCTGGAGATGGAAAGGTTGAGGAGGGTGGCTGTGGAGATGGAGAGGTTGAGGAGATTTGAGAGAGAGAGTAGAGAGAGAATCTGGTTGTCGGATTGATTAGGTGACGAGGGTAATTTGGTAATTTAAGTGTTTTGATATTTTATAATTAAAATTAATAAAATAGTGAAGGGTAAAATAAACTTTTTACATGTTTCAAGGCTCTGTTTAGATGACAAAAATCATAAGGGGTGTGGTTGTCCAAAAATATGCAAACTTTCATCTGACGGTCCTCCTGACAAACCTTTACCCTTGTCTTTTAATAAGAAAAGTAGGATTTGGTAAACAGATATATATCTATATCTATACTGTTATTAAATATGCAAAGAGTTTCAGTATTTTAGTATTTAAATTAAAAAATAAATATAAAAAGAATAGTTATTTTTTTATGGATAATTATCACAATATAACCGGCTCGGCCCAGTTATGATTATGTCATTATCAGGAGAAAACACATGTCATCATTCTATTAATCCAAGAAGCCTATAAATAGAGGTGAGGTGTACAGACATCCAAAATTCTAAAAATCCAGAATTCTAAAATAAAGAGTTTCAGTATTTATTTATTTATATAAAAAAATCATATGTATTTCTTGATACTCCTGTATGATATACATTCCCGCCTAACCCTCGTTACAAAATTAGGTTAAAATTAATTTGTACGATAATAAAATTAATTTGTGATGGAGTTTTATTATCATATGCTTTCAAAAATTAGCTTTTATTACAAGTTTCTTAATAAAATGAAATCTAACTAGACAAGAATATATTTAAAGAAAATAAAATAATTTCTATAAAACTCTATCACAAATTATTTATTTTTTCTAAAACTCCATCACAAATTAATTTTATTATGGATTTTTCATAAATGGAAATCTAATTAGACAAGTATTATTTATATAAAAAAATATTTATTAATTAATATAAAAAGTTTTGTCAAATACAGAAGTTTTGTCAAAGAGTTTGAATATTTATTTATTTATATAAAAAATATTTATTAATTGATATAAAAAGAATTTTTATCTATACTATTATTAAATGTACAAAGAATTTCAGTATTTATTTATTTATATAAAAAAATATTTATTTATTCATATGAAAAGAGTTTTTATAAATAAATAAAAAATCTATAAAACTCTAAAATCTACCTAATAAAATTCAAATTAACCTATTTATCTATTTATTATTATGAATTTTTTAATAAAAAATATAATTGGACAATAATTATTAATATAAAAAATATTTATTAATTGATATATAAAATAAAATATTTTTCTAAAACTCTAACACAAATTAGCTTTTATCATGAGTTTCTTAATAAAATTAAATCTAATCAAACAAGGATATACTTAAAAAAAATAAAATAATTTCTAAAAAACTTTATCACTAATTACTTATTTTATTTTCAATAAAACTTTATTACATTAAACAAATATATATTTAAAGAGTTTCTATAAAATTTTAACACAAATTATCTATTTATCTATTTATTATGAGTTTTTTAATAAAAGAAAATATAACTAGACAAAAATTATTAATATAAAAAATATTTAATAATTGTTATAAAAATAAAATAATTTTTCTAAAGCTCTACCACAAATTACCTTTTATTATGAGTTTTTTTAATAAAAGAAAATCTAATTAGACAAGGATATATATATTTAAAGAAAATAAATAATTTATATAAAATTCTACCATAAATTACCTATTTTATTTTCAATGAAACTTTATCACATTAGATAAGGATATATTTAAAGAGTTTCTATAAAACGCTAACACAAATTACTTAGACTCTCTTACAAATTAACTATT